CAGCTGGTGTTGATAAAAACTCCAGGGCTTCTAGTTTACTCATTACCCTAGAAGATATCTAGGATATCTAGAAACAAAACCAACAGAGGCTGGATATCCTATAACTTGGCATCATGCAGATGAAGATACTTTGAAGTTTGTGTAGGTGGCTCAGATTTTTAGTATTTATAAGTACTTATAAGTTAGAGGCTGGAATTTCAGACCCCATCTAAAGGGAGAGAATGGTTTTTCTTGGCTCTACTTGCCTTCTTAGAGATAGTACATGACTCTCCACATCCCCTTCTCCTAATGGTAGAAGCATGTTTTAAATAGAAACCTCTGTCAGAGTGTGACCCTGAGTGAGATGGGAAACAGATCCTCTAGCTGACCCCAATGAACATGTTATGACAGCAAGAAATAAATCTTTACACATGAAGGGATTAATAAACTATGGTGTATGTATACTGTGGAATACTATACAGCCATAAAATAGATGGAGACTTTACATCTTTTGTATTTACCTAGATGGAGTTGAAGCACGTTATTCTCAGTAAAGTATCACAAGAATGGAAAAGCAAGTATCCAATGTTCTCAATACTATTATGAAACCAACAGAAAACCAATTAAACACTCACAGGAGAAAGAAACACAAGTCTATTCAACTGGGGAGGAGGCAAAGGAGGGAAGGGAGGAAAGAGAGACTGGTGAGCTCTCACCTGATGTGCACAATGTGAGGGTTAACAGCACACCCCTTAGATGAAGGTTCAACTACTCTTTGAACTTTACCTTAGAAATACAAGTAACATAACCTAACCATTTGTACACTCATTAACCTGAATTATTTTTTAAAAGCATACTTAAGAAATAAATCTCTAACTAACCTGCCTGGACTGGCATATTCTAATAACAGCTACTTCTACCAGCTACCATCTCTTCTTTCTTGCCATCAGAACTTATCTCCCTCTCTAGAAGTGGAAAATACCAAACATTCATTTTCCAGCCTCCCTTGCAGCTATGGGTAGCTATGTGGCACAGTTCTGGACAAGTATATGTAAAGGAGATTCTACTTGCATTCCAAATATTTCCCACCTTCCAAAAACAGATTCTGAAGAGAACACTCCTCTCCCATTTTGCTGCTATACACAATTGTATAAAGACATGAGGTAGCCATATTTGAACTGAGGGGAAAAACCTAAGAATTAAATCAATATGTCAAGAAAAGTATAAATGACATCACTGAGTGGCTACACCAGACCTGAAATTTGTCACCTTAGGACTTATTGCTTTGTGCAATGGTAAAGCTCTTGAATATTTTGGTTGCTATTGATTAGGAATATTTTGTTACTTATAGCTAAATGCATTCTAACTCATTGTGTGAGGACTATTTCCCTCTTTGGCACTATATCGCTCTAAACTTCCAAAGGACAGTATAAATCAGCAAGTTCAATTGGATACCTGTGAAGAAAAAGCATCATTTAGAAGTATAATACACAAAGGGAGGGATCATCTAGTGATGAATTTTTTAACTAAACACAAAATCCATGTGCTAATATTATAAAAGGACAGTGAATTTGCTTACATTAGAGGAGAAAGCATAATAGGGTAGATTGGAAAAGGATAATCATGTGTAAATTCATCCTTGGTTTCTTTGATCAGAATTAGCTCACAAATCAATTTTATAGTTAGCCACCTGCCTAGGAAACTCTCAGTTGCCCTAGGAGTAAAAAAATCAAAACCAAAAGCAACACCATATGTATTTTACCAGCAGTAGGTCTTTGGAGAATGCGAAGGAGCTGATGAAGAAATGGCTCCATTGTTTTTGAGTTGTTATTTATAGAAGTCACTGGTTCCACTCTCCAATCTAATTTATACATAATCTACCACCTTTGCTTCCATCTTTTTTAAGAAGTGTCCATTTATCATATTCTTCTTAGCAAAGTATCTCAAGAATGGAAGGAAAAGTATCCAATATACTCAGTCCTACTATAAAACCAATTAACCCAATTATAGCCCAAGAAGAAGGGGAAAGAGGATAGGGAGGGGAGGGGAGGGGAGGGGAGGGGGAAGGATGGGTTAAGGGGGGGTAATCAGTGGGACCACACCTACGGTGCATCTTACTAAAATGAAATTTACTAAATGTAGAATATAAATGTCTTAACACAATAACTAAGAAAATGCCATGAAGGATATGTTAACCAGTTTGATGAAAATATTTCAAATTGTATATAAAACTAGTACATTGTACCCCATGATTGCATTAATATACACAGCTATGATTTAATAAAAATTTTTTAAAGTTCCCATTCATCTCACCACTCATTAGAAAATACTTCCATAAATGTATTTATTATTAAATACTCTATTGAATATTAACAATTTTACATTATACTCATCAAAAAATATAATAGACCTGGAAGGGGTACCATTCAGAGCTTCTTGAAGAAATTACAGAATCCTTAAAACTAGAGTAGGCAGGGTCTAACAAATAAAACACAGACACTTCAACATAAGAAACAAAATCTCCAAAATCATTCTCCCACCGACCCAACCCACTCTTTTCTATGTTTCCCACCTCTTTCAGGAGTTTCCTCCACATGGTTTAGCTCCATTGAGCCACACCCAGCAGCAGACACAAATTGAAATGTGTGTTTTTACCAACAGCTCAGACCAGTTACCCCATGGTGTACTTTTATGCACAAGTAAATAACTATGAAATATATAATGCAAAAATTTGGTTTTATTTTTACACATAAACTACAAACAAGGAACTGCATGGGCTGGAAGAGATGCTAGCTAGTAGGAAATAGTTTTCTGTGGGTTATTTGGGGCTGAGAGTACTGGTTGACAAAGGCTGGGTGCAGAAGGATGAGTAGGTGGTCCTAGGGCCACCGTGGCACAGCTGTCAGAGAGTGACAGGGAATGATGAGCAGACTGAAAATAACTTCACTGGGGCAATGGGAGGTGGTGGAAAATAATTCATAAACTCTTCTGAGTAATGAGAAATCCTGTTTTAAAAGCCATATCATAGGTTTGAATACAATTTTTTGTCTTGGATAAACTACTTTTAGAATCACTTTCTTTGTTAGACTAAAATATTTACACTAAAGACTGTGGTGTCATTAGGAAAAATGATCACAAACCTTTGGAAATCTTGATTAGTTAATTCTCCAGCAATTAGCTAATGTCCATAGAAACAACCTATACAATACCAATTCATCAAAAAGTGTTCCAGATTCATTCTAATTCAGTACATTATGTTTAAGAGATTAAGCCATACGTAAAAGATAAAGACTATCGTAATTAAAATTTTTCATATTTTCAAGCCTTATTTTTGAAATAAAGATTGATTTTTTTCCCTCTAAAATGCCAAAGCTTTTACATACATACAAAGGTATGACTTGGAGTTTGGAAATTTACTTTGCAGTTTGGGAGCGCCTATATATTTCACTGAAATGATTTTGGATGCAATTGGTACTTTCAAGCAATTGGCGTCAGATTGTCATACCTCACTCTTTGGGACATTAAGCCGGGTATTTCACAGTGCTCAAAAATACTTTTCAGGCTTGGCGCCTGTAGCACAGTGGTTATGGTGCCAGCCACATACACTGAGGGTAGCGGGTTTGAACCTGACCCGGGGCCAGCTAAACAACAATAATAACTGTCACAAAAAAGATCTGGGCATTGTGGCTGGCACCTGTAGTCCCAGCTACTTGGGAGGCTGAGGCAAGAGAATCGCTTAAGCCCAAGAGTTTGAGGTTGCTGTGAGCTGTGATGCCACGGTACTCTACCCAGGGTGACATAGTGAGACTCTGTCTCAAAATAAATAAATAAATAAATAACTTTCAAAACAGTATTTAACAAATTGTCTGTAGCCTCTTTCCCCCAAATTAGAGTATCTAACACATGTGATACCCAAAATGTGACCAAAAGATAGTAATAGAAATAGTTATAATTGATTTTTAAATACCTCCTCAAAATTTCAATATCAAATTGAATATTTTCTCCTTTGGTAACCTTTCAACACTTACACATCCTTATGATCTCACTACTTGTCAAGGCCCAGGTCCTAAAAAAATACAGGGCATATGAGTAAGTCTTAACAAACATTCTGTGATTGAATGGGCCCATGAGTGAGTGAGTAAGAGAAGAACAAGAAATTCAGATACAATCTCCCTTTCAAGAACTGCCTTCCCACCCAGCAACATTTCATTTTAATATCTGTGCTAATGGCAAAACTTTGTGGTTTGGGGTGAACTAGATTAATGAAAATAGTCAAAACTTATTCAAAATAAGTCTTGGGGATAAGCAACACAACCACTGGGATAAGGACACTTAGGAAAACACAGGCATGATCAAAACATTCTAAGTCTGACTTTCTATAATTGGGCTCTGAAGGCAATGCTAGACATGATTTGAGCATCAACCACTCCGGATGAGGCAAGCCAGTCCCAGGGTGACTAACTCCGCAGGCTGTGCTCATCGGAATGTAGAGAAACTGACATGCTGATTTTCTGTGTCTCTAATTAGGTTTATACATTCATGCTGAAGGTTTATGTGATATTTTGTAAATATGATTGAGGGGGAAGGTCCTATAACTTCTTCTAATCTTAAATCTAGGAAACCTCGTATTTCCTGTCTGTAAGATGAAGAATCAAAGTAGATTCCTATAAACTCTTCCAGTGCTAACATTCAGTAATTTTATAAATAAATACGTTAAACATCATTCATACATCTTCAATTTTCACTTTTACTAATATTTCAGAGGTTTTATTTTAAAGGAACTGTCCCTTAAACAACCCCAAGGCCTCAAGGGAAATCAAGCTTTGCAAGGTACATGGCTGCTGGAGTAAGATAAACAAGGTAAACCTCTCTCCTCTCTCTCTCTCTCTCTCTCTCTCTCTCTCTCTCTCTCGCACACACACACACACACACACACAAACATCTCTGTCCTATTAGCAGTAAACTGTCTGTGTCCCCCCCAAACAGGGACAATTATAGAGGTCAGCAGGATGGCTCACAAGTTCACATTCATGTGAAATCACTTATATAATGCATACAGAGTAAAGCTGCTCTTGGAAGGATTTGTCAACTTTTCACTAAGTGGTTACAACTTCAAAAGCAGAGGAAGTGCCTTCAAATGAAAGTATGACAGCGGGCTTCAGAAAGTCCTGCTTCCGATTGTGTCCGAAATATTTTATTCTGTAGATTCCAGGCTGGGCAGTGTCCGGAATGTGCCATTCTATCGTCGCATTGCTCTGACCCAGGAATCCCTTGTGCCAGTAAAAACTGTTGGTAGAAAACGAACAAGCAAGACCCAGTTTGACTCTTTAAAACGTTTAATCAGAAAAATGCATAAATATTCATTTAACGACTATTCAAGAAGTACCTACAATGAGCAAGGCACTATTTACACACTGAGGATACAATTTTTGTTAAAACCAGCTATTTTGTAGAAATCTCTTTACGTGTTCTTCCTTCCTAACTACCTTAACTCTACCCATCCCAGGAAGCCTTACCTGATACTCAGAACACAGGATATCTCCCGCTTTAGAATTGCGACAGCATCCTTTCAGCCCTTATCATACTCTGGGTCAACTGACATTTCTTTTCACATCTAAATTCATTTGTTAAAAATAAGCATCTCGTGAGCACATGTGCCAGACTCTATTCCCAAGTGCCGAGGATACTGCAGCATGCAAGAGACACATGGTCCAAAGTGTCATGCGGCTTACGTTCTACTCGGATGGGGAGGGAAATATAGGGCCATAGACAAACCAATACATTTTAACATTTTAAGAATGGTGAGTATAATGCAGAAAATAAGACAGAAGTCTAAGGAGAGGTCGTTCAGTCCACAGAGACCTGGCGAAAGAGCATCCTAGGAAGAAGGAACGGAGAATACAAAGTGTTCAAAGCAGGAACAAACTTGCTACGGCCAAGAAACAGAGAGCAGGTCAGCTGGAACAGGGAAGAGAGGACTGGGGTGACGGCTGAGATGGGGAAAGATCATGTTGGCCCCTGCAGACCACAGAGGAGAGTTCAGGCAGTCTCGGAGACACAGTGAGACACAGCAGGCTAACTGGTTGATGTCCTCAGGGAGGTAGAAGGTGAATGCCGTGGGCAGAGAACGTGCTCGGCATCCCACGCTTCTCAGGCACAGGACAGGACCCTCCATACCTGATGCTCCTGCTTCTAACCAAAAGGCAGAAGTGTAAACAGATCTCCGGTGCTGATTGCTAATCTGACTTTCGGCTTTGGAAATAAATCATCCTTTTTTATTATCTGTATAACCTTCTTTTATAATAAACATCTATTACTTGTTTAAAATGATCTATGCTCCAGAGTTCTAAAGAGCAGAGAAAAAATTATGCCCATATTTATACATGGCTATGAAAATGGGCCACATGGCCCCTCTCTTCAGGTAACAATCAGAATCAGACTAACAAACAAATAATCGCTTAGTTTGATGTGATCTGAATTAGACACAAATTACCCGAAACTTTACCCACTTACTTACATACCACTGTCCTATGCTGTGAAATTTATAGACCTGGGAACGGAAATGTTTTCTTATGTCAGGTACATTGTCAAATCTTTAAAATGCATATTCTACATAGGAATTTAGTAGCAAAAGCTACAGAGACAAGGTGTCGCTGAGGAAACCGCATGAGCTTATTATCTCCTTCTTTAAGTCAGGAAGAGTTCAACACTCAAGCCTCTAAGTAAATGAAATGAAGAATCACTGGCTATATACAAACATTCAGTACATGTCAGCTACAGGCCTACTGTGTTCCCAGATTTTACAGAGAAATCTCAATGCCTGCACCCAATACTCCTTTAGACCAATCGGCAAGGCAGCTGGTTAGCTTGTAGGGATGATGCCTGTGACCAGGGCTGGGGTAGGGGGGAGACAAAACAGAATTAACAGATGTCTGTAAGAACAGAAGCCATAACCTCATTAGTACCTAATCTCACAAAAGCACATAGCACATTGTTTTGCAGAAAAAGAGAATCAAGGCTCAGCGCCAGTGGCTCAAGTGGCCAAGGCGCCAGCCACATACACCTAAGGTGGCGGGTTCGAATCCAGCCCGGACCCACCAAACAACAATAATTGACTGCAACCAAAAAATAGCCAGGCATTGTGGTGGGCACCTGTGGTCCCAGCTACTTGGGAGGCTGAGGCGGGAGACTCGCTTGAGCCCAGGACTTGGAGGTTGCTGTGAGCAGTGAAGCCATGGCACTCTACCTAGGGGCTCAGCTTGAGGCTCTGTCTCAAAAAAAAAAGAAAGAAAAGAAAAGAAAAAGAGAATCAAATGAACTCTAATAAGTCAACTAAATGCATCCAGAAGCCTCCTTGGCAATTTGATATTATTAATATCACGTATGGAGTCAGACTTCCCTGCATTGCAAACCAACTGTTTTCAAAGACGTATTGGACAGTGGTGCTCACCGTGTCTCCCAGGAGGCATCGTTATACACTATCTGCCATGAGGCCAAGGCCGCCTCGTATTTCTCCACAGTGAGGAAGGTCTGATGAGTCTGAAAGGCAAATCACACGCGTGATCAGGAACTGCACAGTCATGAGAAGGAAGAGGTTTTATTGTCCCCCTTGCTGACCGTACACTAACTTACCAATGGTGTACGAAGATGTACTCGGATTTCATCCCAATCCATCAGTGTTTCTGTTAACATTCTATACCATGTTGTCACAATGTCAATTGATCTAGTCTATTTAAAACCATGACTTTTTTTGGAAATTTGAAAGAAGAATAAGTGTGGAGCTGATAGCAAATGTTGGGAATTCGGGGCAAGGAGAGACGGGGAATAAAACTTGAGGTTTAAAAAGGCGTCAGTCCAGCCCTTGCGTGACATGTTCAATGATCTACATTCCAAGACTTTCTCTAGTCACCTCAAGATTTAGGAAGGAAAATGGTAAAGCTTTATCATCTTTCCGTCTTGAGGTAAATGAATGATTGGTTAATGTGCCTCCCTGAGTGAAAGAATTAAAAAAACATGTATAAATCTTCCTTGTCCTGTGGTTCTCAAGGCAGCCCCTATATTTTGTTGTAATGGATTCCTGGAAACCACATCATAAGCAAATTTTATTTCCCCACTGAAGAGTGGTATAATAGAACATTTTGTTTCAGACCAAGAATTCAGTTTCAAATAAAGCATAGATTTGAATAACATGACAAGTTTATAGAGATAAAGACCATAAATCTCCAATATGCCTTAAAATCCCTTAGACTGTAGACCTTAAAGTCAGGACTTCTGTCTAATTCACCTTTATCCATCACAGTTCTTTACACCTGTCATTCACTAGTATTCGGTGAATATGGATCACTTATTTACAGATGGGCCATATCATCGTGTAAGATTCTTCTCTGACTATTCAACTGATGGATTATATTCAAAAAAGATGTTTTCATAACCATGGAAACTTGTAACGAGAGCTGTTCTTGTTCATTGAAGGAAAAATGATACTGGTAAGGGCTTAGATTGAGTAGGAGATAGGGTAGGCCATGAAAACACGTGTGAGACACAGACTGGAGAACAGGTCCAGACCTCTGACTATCAGGGCCAGCCTGTGCCCATCTCCCTACCATAATCTGTTCCAGATGAATAACCAGTTACTACAAGTTACTTATCTCCTCTAGGCCTCAATTTAGTCATCTGTAAAACAGAGATAATGAAACTTAAGTCATTTGGTAGTAGTGAGGATTAAATTAGGTTCATGCGATAATTGCACATAAAGCACTTAGCCTGCAAATGGTAAGCATTCAATAAATAGTGATGATGATGATTACTAATAAAGAAGCATACTGGAAATTGTTTTATACCCAGTTCCAGAGTATTCGTAGAAAATAATTTTATTACCGTGATAATGCTTTAAAAAAAATTTTTTTTTTGAGACAGAGTCTCACTTTGTCACTCTCTGTATAGTGCCATGGCATCACAGCTCACAGCAACCTCAAACTCTTGGACTCAAGTGATTCTCTTGCCTCAGCCTCCCAAGTAGCTGGGACTACAGGTGTGTGCCACAACGCCAGGCTACTTTTTAGAGACAAGGTCTCGCTCTGGCTCAGGCTGGTCTCAAACTCATGAGCTCAGGCAATCCAACCGCCTGGGCCTCCCAGAGTGCTAGGATTACAGGCATGAGCCTGCTTTAAGTCTTTTTTTCTCTAGCTTCTGCATGGCAATAATGAGGACCGAATTTTTCTACCCTAAGGAGAGATAATAGCTAAACCTACCATTTTGGTATAATACTTTGATATCTTCAGAAAATAATGTTATAAACATTATAACATTGTGTATTTATAATATGTAACTATTCCAGCATAGCTTGGCTTGCTGGAGAAATTATTTCAAACAGATACATATTGACTAAGCAATAGAACATTTTTCCTCCATGTCATATTGTCACAATTATTATCCTGGCAATAAGATATATTTTAATGAACAGAAATGGGAAGGCTCATTTGGAAGGAAGGTATGTTAGATTGTAAGTGACTGTGTCCTGGGAAGACTAGCTCTCAATAAAGTGGATGCATCAGTAGCTATAGTAAGAAACATGACCTTGAAATCACATTTATACGCCCACTCTCATTTTCCACTATAAATTTCTTTATTGTTTGAATGTTTACAACTAGAATGTGTCCAGTGACTGCTGGTATAGTTATAAGAACATTTCATGGAAGTTATAGAAGAGTAAAATTATTTTATTTTATTAACAGATACAGTATATTACAAATGTATGTAATTTATAGTGTATATGACAAAAACAAAAGGTCTGAAATGCTTCGTAAGAAACTAGTGGCAGAATTACCTCTGGAAAGCAGGTAGGTGGGCAGAGGGGTACTTTTACATTCTATTTTATGCACTTCTGTGTTGTTTTTACTTGGACATGTATTCCATTGTGTCATTTCTTAAAGATTAATAGATAAACGTCCCATGGGTGGTAAAGTCTAGGGAAATGGCCAATGCAAGATGAAATAAAGCACATGGGCCAGGACTCCAGGCCAGGAGCGTGTCTACTAGGGATCCGTGGTCATCCCTCAGTAGTCGAGGTGGGACTAGAAGTAGCAAGGCTGGCGCAGGAGGAGAGTCAAAGACATACTTCCCTAGACTGGTTACTCGACCATATTTAGTGGAGTTTCAAATCTGAATACAGTCAAGTGTTGGACGTGTTCTGAGAAATGTGGCATTAGGTGATTTTGTTATTGTGTGGCCATCATAAAGTACACTAACCCACACCTACACGGTGTAGGCTACTGCACACCTAGGCTATATGGTACAGATATAGCCTATTCCCTAGGCCACTGACCTGGGTAGCATGTTACTCTACTGAACACTGTAGACAATCATAACACAGTAGGAAGTATTAGTGTATCTAAAGATATGTAAATGAAAAGAGACAGTGAAATATGGTATTATAGTCTTAGGAGACCACCACTGGCTATTCAATCCATCATTGACTGGAACATCATTATATGGCCATGACTGTACATACATGGGATTGTGCTCAGATTAACCTCTTGTTGAGAGACAATGCCATTCTATACGCATTGTGCTATTTGTGGTCCCAAGAGGAGCTCTTTGTTTCCCGTGTGATTTTTTCCCAAACTCAATCCACCTTAACTGTACCCACTGAATATTTTCCATACCAACAAAATAAGATGGAAAACAAGTTGGCACTTTTTCTTTATGTTATTAACGATAGAGGGATATTCAAGTAAACAGATGGCAAATAAAAAAGTAGATTTAAATTTGCAAAAGAAAACCTTTCGATACTTACCTGGTTTTCTGCTGAATTTTTCGGGTTAGCACCTACAAATGTAACTTCAGCAACCTCTCCCTGAAAATAAATTTGATAACTTTTAATAAAAGGATTTTTGTTGTACTCATATTTGGGGCATTCTCTATTATACATTCTAGGACTCGGGGTGCCTTATGGATTCTACTCTACTGAATCAGTGAGTTATCTTCTAAGAATATTAGAGAAAATAATTCTTGCAATAATTGACTGAGTCTAATAAGAGCGGTCAAAACTTCCCATGGATGGGAAGTTAACTATCATTTTACCAATTACTAAGCATTTTAGGAAGGGCCAGAGCAGATGGGAAGTATGCTTACATCTATAGTTAAACTTATATTTATAGAAGATGGAGTGACAAGGAGTATATTTACCCTCCCACCTGAAACAACTAAAAAACTGGACAAAATATGAATTAAACAATGATTTTAGAGACAATGGACATCAGGCAATGAAGAACAGTGATTCTTGAGTGGCAGAAAATAAACGAGGTGAGCCCTCTAATCACCCCAGTTTAATGTTCCTCAGAGTTTACAGGCCATGGCAGAAAGAAGCAGAATTCAGGCCAAGTCAGACAGTCTATGTAAGTTTAGGATATGAAGGTCAGAGTCCCTGAAGGACAAATAGTCTTGAGTTCAGGGGCAAAATAAAAGTGAGAGGAAAGCAGCACAGAAAGGAGAACCAGGCTATGTTAACTAGTTTGATGAAAATATTTCAAATTGTATATGAAAACACCACACTGTACCCCATGATTGCATTAATGTACACAGCTATCATTTAATAAAATAAATAAATAAATAAAAAAGAAAGGAGAACCACACAGAGAGAGAAAGCTCCCTCCACTCTGCATTCATGGAAGAGAACCACCTGAAGCTAGGAAAAGAATGGCCTAACAGATTAGACGCAGTGGTTCTCAACCTTCCTAATGCTGCAGCCCTTTAATACAGTTCCTGTGGGTCACGACCCACAGGTTGAGAACCACTGGATTAGAGGCACAATCCCCAGGCTCATACAGAGTTGTAACAAATTCCTATTCCCACTAACCAGACCAAAAAACCTCACAATTCAAAAGACCTTTACTTCATTTTACTTCAATGTGTGTTTTGGGTTTGGGGAGTGGGTCGCTGGGGCAAGTGGGGAAGGGGGTTTTCCAAGAAGAAAATCTGCTCTGGCCCTTCCTAAAATGCTTAGTAACTGGTAAAACGATAGTTAAAAGCAGTGAAACTAAGAGCTACTTCACAGAAGATACAAATTACCAAAACAGGTAGCAAGAGGAAGTATCATTATTCACCCCACAGAAATGAAAAGAATTATAAGAAAACATTATCAACAAAAAAAGAACAAATTTCATATTAGACCAACAAATTAAACAACTTAGATGAAATGGAGACATTCCTAGAAAGATACAAATTCCCAGAAAGATACAGACTTCTAAAAAGACAAATTCCTAGAAAGGCCTGTAATTAACTCAAGGGGGAGAAAAGGAAATCTGAATGGCCTGAAATTAACTTAGGAATTGAGATGTTTACCATAAAGAAAAGGCCAGGTCTACATGGCTTCACTGGTAAATCCAATTAAACATTTAAAGAAAAAATAATACAAATCTTTTGCAGTTTTTTTTAAAAATACAGGAGGAAACACTATCCATTTTATTCATTGAGACCAGACAAACACAACACATGAAAAGTACAAATATCCTTCACAGAGATGAATATAAAACACCTGAGCAATATATTAGCAAACATGTAAAAAGTTTTCATTACATACCACGATTAAATGGTATTTATTTCATAACTGAAAATCAATTAATGCAACATACCATATAAAAGAATAAAAAACAAAACCACATGACCAGCCCAGTAGACACAGAATGGTGTCTGCAAAAATTTAACATTCATTCCTGACAAAAACTCTCAACAAACTAGGCATAGAAGGAAACTTTCTCAACGTGATAAAGGGCATCTACAAAAATCCTGAAGAAAATACAACACCAAACAATGAAAAACTGAATACTTTTATCCTAAGATCAGAAACAAGACAAGGAAATCCAGCTTCACAACTTCTATCCAACACTGTATTGGGTCTTGAGCAAAAAAAAAAAACAAAGCCAGAAGCTTCGTAACTCCCTGAATTTAAAATATACTACAAAGCTACGATGACTAAAATAACATGGTGGTGGCATAAAAATAGACATAGACCAATGGAACAGAATACAGAGCACAGAAATAAACCCTTGCATTTATGGACAATTGATTTTTGACAAAGGTACCAAGAACTCACAGTGGGGAAAGGACAGTCTCTTCAATAAATGATGTTGGTGAAACTGGATATCTATATGCCAAAGAATGAAATTACACTCTTACCTTACACCATATACAAAAATCAACTCAAAATAGATTAAAGACTTAAACATAAGCCCTGAAATTATAACACTAGTAGAAGAAAACACGAGGGGGAAAGCTCTGTGACACTGGTCTGGGTAATGAATTTTTTAATATAACTCTAAAAGCATAAGTAGCAAAAGTGAAAATTTAAAAATGGGACCACATCAAACTATAAAGCTTCTGGACATCAAAGGAAACAAGAAATTGAAAAGGCAACCTATAAAATGGGAGAACATGTTTGCAAACAAAATATTGGATATGGTTTTAATATCTAAAATATAATACACGCAACTCAATGGCAAGAAAACAATCTAATTTAAAAATGAGCAAAAGACATGAATAAATATTTCTCAAAATAAGACATACAAACAGTCAACAGATATATGGGAAAATGTTCAACATCACTAATCATTAGAAAAATGCAAATTAAAATCACAATTATTTGTTACCTCACACTTGTCTGAATGACTTTTATCAAAAACACATTGGCAAGGATGTGGAGACAAGGAAACTCTGCACACTGTTGGCAGGAACGTAAATTAGTACAGGCATTCGGTAAAACAGTATGAAGGTGCTCCAAAAAATTAAAACTATAACTACCATATGAACAACAATGCCATTCTGGGTACATATATGCAAAGGAAATGTAATCAGTCTGTCAAAGAGATACCTGCACTCCACGTTCACGCAGCACTACTCACAATAGCTGAGATACAGAACCTCAGAGTCCATCGCTGGATGAATTGGTAAAGAAAGGATATACATGATGGAACACTATTCACACTTTAAAAAGAAGGGAATCCTACGCCAAGCCAATAGATGATTCCCACATAAGAGAAAAACTCCAATCAATTCAAGGTGGGGGGCAGGGAAATGAGGGTGTGGGGAGAGGGGAGGAGGGAGGGGTAGGGGGTCACAGTGTATGGCACACCTCTTGGGGGTGGTAGCATAATTGTAAGAGGGACTTTACCTAACCAATGCAAACAGTGTAACCTAATTCTTTGTACCCTCAATGAACCTGAAACAATAAATTAAAAAAAAAAAAAAAAAAAAGAAAAGAACAGGAAAGGAAAGGAAGAGGAAGGAAGGAAGGAAGGAAAGTAGGCAGGCAGGCTCAAAGAGCTAAAAGTAAACTTTCCATTTGATCCTACTTCCTTTCATTCTTTCCTCCTAAAGGACTTAAAAGTGTTTTTGGCTTTACATTGTCCACTTATCACTTTAAATATTTTCCATGTTAACTTGAATAAATTCAATTTAAAAATAAATAAATAAATAGACAGGAATCCTCTTATTTGTGATGACATGTATGAACCTGGAGGACATTATGCTTAGTGAAATAAGCCAGACACAGAAAGACAAACGCTGGGTGATCTCAGCCATCTATGGAACCTTAAAAAGTTGAACTCACAGAAGAAGAGCAGAAGGCTGGTTACCAAGGACTGGGAGGTCGGGGCATTGAAGAGATGTTGGTCCAAGGATACAAAGTCTCAATTAGATAGAAGTAATTAGCTCAAAAGACCTATTGTGCAACATAGTAACTGTAGATAATAAAAATGTAGTGTATTTGAAAATTGCTAAGAGAATAGATTTTAAGTGTTTTTACCGCAACAATATGGCAAGTATATGAAGTTATGATAAGTGTGTGTGACATGGCCATTCCACATTTACACATAATTCAAATGTATAAATGTACTGCATACATTAGTACACATTTAGGTACAATTCAAAACATCACATTCTATACAATAAATACAATTTTATTTATCAATTTTAAAAGTTAAATTTTTAAACATAAAATATTCTACTTAGCCAGTTAAAGAAGGGGGAAAAATTCAAGACATTCAGAAAAGAAATTCAGAAAGGAATAAGGAAATTTATTTTTATTTGCAGATGTCATGATACTATATGTAAAAAGCACTAAGGAATCTGTACCAAAAAATAAATATGGGAACTAATAAACGATTTAGCAAGGTTGTAGGACACAAGATTGATATGCAAACCCTGCTTCACTTCTCTATGCTTTTCTTATCCTTGATTTAAGAGACAACTTAGCTCTAGTGAATGGTTCTACATTCACTTAAGAAGAGGAATAATCTGGATTTTAGACATTCAAATTTACACAATTGTCCCCAGAAAAAACTAATTATTTCCCCCTTCCCATTTCTTTTACAGAGCTCTGCTGAAATAAGCACAATTAGTTACCAACATGATTATCATTGCTAACAGCTGGTTTATGGCATGATTGGTGGCAGATGGTGACATTTCCCTCAGCCCCCGAATCAGGCCCCTGAAGGATTCAAAGTTCTCTATGAGTCTTACCACGTGGTATGTGGGTTTAGCTGGCTGCAGGACATCCCCAAACGTTCTGCCTATCGGTGCTCTATCCACAGTGTTAGGAATTAATGGAGCTATTAGTTGTTTGAAAAATGGAGGCTCTGGACCTCTGCTCAGGTTGGCTACGGTGTCCTGGAAGAAGAAAGCATTTGCTTAAGGAGTGCACAGGCAGCAACAAGGAGCCTTTCCCCAGGGGCCACCCCCAGAAATGCCTTCATTAAAGGAAGCATGTGTCTCCAACCCACATACCACACTCTCTCTCTGAGAGCTAACAGCGTTTAGCAAAATATGAAGCCGACCTTGATAAAATATGAGCCTTGAGGTCCATAATTGAAACTGTTGTCATTAGAAGAGAGTCTTAGCTCTTGACAACTCCACATTCCTTAGGGCAGTTTCGTGATCAAAGTACAAGGTTAGTTTAGAGATCAAAGTACAAGGTTGGAGGCACACCACTCAGGTTTGGATTATGAAACAGATATTTACATGACTTTGCACACAGGCCTAATGCATGCTAAGTAAGCTTTTGCAATGATGACGCTGTAATTATTCTTTTAATTTTCAAAAAGCATTGAGCTTCTTTCACCCAGAGTCAATACCAAGCTTTTTTTTTTCCCTTGGATCCTTGTATGTGTTAATAAAAGAATATATTAAATACATTTTTAATTTAAACTATTTAAGACCAGCCTACATCTTGATTGGTTTAATCTATGTTTTCCATAAAATTTATCATTTTAATAGTGTCATAAAAATGCAAATCTCAATTTTTAAACAGCCCCGATATATATTTAATGTTCTCTAATCCTCATAGCATATATTCAATCTTGACAACAGCCAATGAAAAACAGATATATTACCAATCCCCTTGTAAAAACAGGCAAGGAAGGCGATGCCTGTGGCTCAAGGAATAGGACACCGGCCCCATATACCAGAGGTGGCGGGTTCAAACCGAGCCCCAGCCAAAAACTGCAAAAAAAAAAAAAAAAGTGGCCAAGGAGATAATGGGTGTTTTTAAAGGTCCCATACCTCATCTTAAGGTACATAACCATAAAGTTGGCCACAAAACAGATTTCTGCAGAATGAATGGATTTTCCTTCACTAAATATCACCAGAAAGTTTTAAGAATCTGTTTTTTTGGAAATATGGATATACCTATGACTATAATAAAACTGAAACGGTGGTTATCTCTAGGGATGGATTGTAAGTTTAGACTTTTCTGTACAATCTGAATATCCTGTAGGTAGGTTTAGCTTTCATGATATAAATAAATTCATAAAAATGGTTCTACTTTGGAGGAAAAAATAACAAATCTAAAATGGACAGCAACATTAAGATCAACAAAAATCAAGTAATTAAAATACGTGCAAAGTACAGACATCGTTCTGAAATTTGAGACACCATCAGCAACTAATGATGAGGGACATGAAATTGCCAATAATCAACTGATTTAACCCACAGAAACAGTAATTAAATTTCTTTCAATCTAATATACCCAAACTCTTTCCTTAAAAGGGTTTTACGCCTGTCTTTTCTGTGCCATAACTATTTAACAGCTTTTATTGAGGCTTATACATCATAAAGAGTCCATTTATTATTTTAAGCTCTTTATTCTGTTTGTTGACTGATTTTTCTGAAACCATGATTATAGCTTCATAAATCACTGTGAAGAAGATTTTCACAAGTGAAGTCCCTTTAAATTAAGTGAACTTGTTAAGGTGTATATACATTTTAGGTAGGTGTGATCTGTGCACTCCAAGGTACTACTGTATTTCATCTAATCTAAACCCCCATCAATTGTAACAACTTATTTTTCAAACCATCAAGAATGTAAAAACATAATCATAAAACTATGATTAAATCATAAGATTATATTAAACTATAATCATAGGATTCCTCTGATTGGAAAATGCATCCCAGTTTCACAGATATTTGTAATGTGAAAAATGGGCATTTTAGACTTGATGACTTACTACTCAACTCTTGGAGTAGAAACAATCTAGCAAAGATTAGACAACACCAACTCAATTCTCATTTACTGTTACAGTTATAGCTATAGTTAGCGTGATTGCTTATCACCTTTAAGCCTATCTGCTCATCTGAGAAATGGGGGGAAATGATACCTCCTTACTTCATGTGATGCTTGTAAGAATAATGAGATACCATACATGAAACAATCAGCCATTGCTAAAAGATGTTAACTGAATCTGAATTTTACCATCGGTAAAATTTCATTTCTTTTCTTAGAAATTCCACATAGCTATAATTTTTTTAAGTATAAAGGTTGTCAAAGAAATCAATGTTCTCTTGCTTTTCTGTACATCCCCCCGCACCTTCCCCACCCCCACCCCCCACACACTATTTGGTTACCGTAGCAATGGCCTTAGCAAGGCCTCTGAAGAGCTGGATATAAGCTGACAGAGTGTGTGGTCCATAAATTGTAGATGCGGCCTCGTATCGTTGAACCTGCAAGAGAGCCAGAAGTTGTGCATAGTTCTGCACCTTCCAATCCATTTACAGAGGTGTAGCATTTCAGGTAAGGGTGATGTTTGAACATCTCACATAATTCAAAATTGGAAGAATCTTCAGGATTGTTTATGGCAAAAAAGAACTGGCATTTTCATTTACCAAGCAAAATAATTGGCTCCCATCAACAATTTCTCAAAGATAGTGGATTCTCTTTGCTTATAATATTTACACTGTCAATCCCTTTAAACTGAAAGAGTGTGCTAGCTTTCATCTATTGCACATATTTGCAATATTAATGTTTTCTCCCAGGGCATGTATCAGGAAAAAAATCAAAAATAGAGTCCTAGTAACTCTTGGATAAATTGGATGCTAATGGTACTAAGTGGAGGACATTTAATCCATCATGGAGCCATGAGAGAGACCCAAATGCACTTCCTTTTACCTGGTCACCAAACCTGTGGTTATTCTACAGAAACCTCAATGTCAGCTAACCTAAAACAGACCTCACTGCTCATCACAGACACACCAGCTTCCCTTCCAACATTGTCTCAGTGATGAGTGAGGTCTCCCACGTGAGGATCATCTGGTAGGTACCTTACACTCCTCTCTTTCTACATCCTATGGGTCTCCAAATCTGGTAGTTCTACCTCCTTATAGCTGGAATTTTTAAATGGAATCAAGTTCTTCCATTTTCCCATCTCTACTGCATTTACCTTATTCAAAGCCTGATCTCTCACCCAGATCTTAACCACAGCTTATTAATCAACTCTCTGCCTCTACACATTCTTTTCCAATTTGCGTTCTTCCCTGCCATCAGAGTGACTTTTCTAAATCACAAATTTGATCAGAGCATTCTCTTGCTTTGAATCCTCCTGCAGTTCCCCAAAGCTTTCCTTATTGAGTCAAAGCCCCACAGTACAGCTCACAAGACTCTAGTAACCCCTCCCACTCTACCCCATCATCTTACCATCACCCTCAAAACACTTACTCCATGGAACTTAACTAATTATGGCCCATTGATGTGCTGAGTCTGCCCTTCCAAATCTTTACCATGTACTTCCTTCCATATGGAATGTGTTCTTAGTTTTATTTGCCTAACTAACCCTCACTTGTTCTCAGAAACTCACACAGATGTTACATCATTCTGAACAGTCCCAGTCTTCAAATACCCAATCTAGATTAGTACTCTTTCTCCTTATTTTTATAGCGCCATGTGCATGCCTTTCATAGAAATGTAATCATCTGCTTTCCTTCAACTTTCTACTAGACCATTAACTCATAGTCGTCTCAAGAACAAGGACAGATTGTTTTCATTATTATATCTCAAAAAGTGGCTAGTGCAGTATCTGTCACAACATGTGTCTGTTGAATGAATTAATGAGCTAATTAATAGTAATCCTTGCAGAAGCATATTCCTTGACCAGGAAACAACATCACAGGGGTTCTTAACCTTATTTATGCCATGGACTTCTTTGGCAGTTTATTGATACCTTAGGACTTTTCCTTTTCCATAAAATAAAATGCATGGGCTTGACAAAGGAAACCAATTAGATTGAAATATATTTATGTTGATTCTTCCCAGCCATGAGCATGGTATGTTTTTCCATTTGTTAACATTTGTAGCTATTTCTTTTCTTAGAGTTTCATAGTTCTCTTTGTAGAGATCTTTCATGTCCTTTGTTAGGTAAACTCCCAAATATTTCATCTTTGGCACTACTGTAAACGGAATAGAGTCCTTGACTGTTTTTTCAGCTTGGTTGCTGTTGGTATATATAAAGGCTACCAATTTATGAGTGTTGATTCTGTAACCTGAAACGCTGCTATATTCCTTGATCACTTCTAAAAGTTTAGTAGTAGAATCCCTGGTATCTGCAATCCCTGGTATCATCTGCAAAGAATAAAAGTTTGATCTCTTCTGACCCTATATGGATACCTTTGATCGCTTTTTCTTCCCTAATTGCGATGGCTAAAACTTCCATTACAATGTTAAAGAGCAATGGAGACAATGGGCAACCTTGCC